TACACTGTACATACAGTATAATACAATTCGTATACATTCAGCCGGGTGTGAATGGTGAACTTTCTGCCAAGCTTTCATTATCTATAACTCACCCTTGTATCACTGTTGAAAGTGTGTGGCGGTTCCTCCGCCCTGCCGGATGCGCCAAGTGATAGCTTGTTATTATATGATTTACGTCCTTAGTTTTTGCTAGTTGGCCCTTTTTATGATATTATTACCCCCTTTTACACAGTTCTTCAGGAGTGTTTCCCTTCATGTTTTCTGTTCCTTAGACCAAACAGGGGCGTGAGCTGCCCGCCCTAGCTACGGTACGAGAAGCAGCGGCAGTGTGTGATCCGGTTATAAAGAGTGTTCTTGGAACAACAGCACTCTGCTTGGCTGCACTGTGACAGTGGGAGAACATTAGTTCATGTCACCTAACGCCCGCTTAACCTTGGCAGCCCCAAGGCATCTGGTTGGTGATGGTTCCCAGGGCTTTTTCAGTTGGAGTCGGCTGTTAAGTTTGTCCTGTAAATTCTTGACTTAAGAAAGGAAATAAAATATATAACATCACATCCAACACTTGGATTCATCCCAACAGTATTATTTCCCCTGATATAACACCGTGTAATAAGTCAAGATGTCTCACCTGTAAACCATTCAGGTCAAGTAATATTTTCACCAGTTACGTTACTAATAATTCTTTCATGTTAACTCACTCTGAATCCTTTTCTTGTAAATCTTCTTCTATTATCTATCTCCTCACTTGTTCTTGTGGTATTCAATATGTTGGGCTCACAGAACAGCGCCTTAATGAACGCATGAATGGACACCGTGCTTCGGTTAAAGCCGGCAAATCCTCCTTTGTCCATGACCACTTTAATACTCCCGGTCATAATTTTCATGACGCCTCCATTCAAATTATTGATTTTATTGACCCTTCCTCTACTGAAGACCCTCGTCTGGCCTTAGCTGACAGGGAACTTCTTTGGATTAATCTCCTGAGCACTGCTCACCCTCTAGGTCTCAATGACAACATAAAAGGTTCTGGTAATATTTCTAAAAGCAACTTTAACGATATTTATTTTAAAAGTAAAATAAAAAGATATAAAAGAGGACATGGCAGAAAAAAGAAAAACAAAAGCCATGAAGATAGAATATACAAAAGGACTCTCACTTTAAGAGAGATTGACAATAAATATGAAAGTTTAAAAAGAAAAATGCCTGAAAGCAAATACAGCTTTTATAAAGATATAAGTAGCCTTCAAAAAGGCGAGCTCAAGCAACTTAGCTCTCATTCCCTCTGCAAATCTGGAGCCATTTTCCTTGTTATACAATCTTTTGCTGGCCAAGACAGCACTTCTTCTCCTAATATCACCTCTGTTAATAGCGAGTTTATCACTTTTCACTATTGTTCTAAAATATTTGATAAACTCCGAATAGAATCAGTCATTCGTGACTCTAGGATCTTGACTCTTCTCCCTCCAAACCTTACGCCTTTCCTTCCCTTAAAAGTTTACTATAAGTACGATATTCCTGTCGGGCGTAAGCTTTTTAATTATAATAGATTCCTTAAATCACTTGATAATACTACTATTTCCTCCATCCTGGAAGGTGATTGCCCCTGTTCCAGTAACCCTTATTGCTATCAGCCTCGAGGCCACATCATCACCGGTGACCTTGCTTTCATTGAGCACGAGGATTTAAGAGGCATCATGAGTTACGGTACCAAATTTAGGGAACCTGTGTCTGTTCCTCCTGAGCAAATCTTGGAGAGCCTCAACGAGTGTTCAGCCAACTTCGCCACCCGTATGGCTAGGAAACATGGACTTTCATGTTTGGAATTCCAGGATTGGAAAGATGAGGTCTCCCGGATCTTCACCAATCGCCTTAACTTCCTCTCCTCCTCCCCTAATAACTTCACTCCCTACAATTCCATTCTACAAAGGGATGATGTTAAATCTTATCTCGACAGTCTTTCTTCTTCTTTTATTATTTGCTCCGTAGATAAAGCTTCAAATAATTATGTTTTTGTCTGCAAGAAGTTTTATCTTTTAACCCTTCTCAACGAACTTGGCTACGATCTCACTTCTCTAGAGTGTCGTGGCAATTCTACTTATCATCCGGTTAACTCTGTAGAGGATGATATTATTCAGGAACATGTGAACTTCATTAAAGATAACTTTAATATTCGTGTTTCTGAGGACAACCTTTGTCTACCGAGAATCTTTTGGATTCCTAAACTTCACAAGAATCCTTATAAGTCTAGATTTATAGCTGGGGCCAGTAAATGTACCACTAAGCAGATATCAGTTGTAGTCAACAAAGCTTTAAAAGTTTTAAAAGAATACTTTTCCAAATACTGCAACTCTATCTACAACAATACTGGAATTAACTGCGACTGGAGCATTAACAGCTCTAAACAGTTCCTGGAAAGGCTGCCTAGACTAGAGATTTTTAATATGCAGGTATACGACTTTACCACTCTGTATACCAATCTAGACCTTCAGGTTGTACAGTCACTGCTTTTCGAGCTAATAGATCTCCTCTTTAGTAATACGAATAAATTTATTTGTGTTTCTCTGTATAAGAACAACAATTTTTTCTCTAAAAAGGAATATAACGGATACTTATGTTTTTCTGCTGATAAACTCAAAACAGCTATTACATTTATTCTGTTTAACACTTTTGTTTGTTTTGGGGATCAGATTTTAAGACAAACGAAAGGCATTCCCATGGGAGGGAATTCTAGTAGCCAGTTCGCTGATCTTTCGCTAGGGAAGTGTGAATTCAACTACATGACACGCCTAATCAAAGAAAAGAAGTTCGGTCTCGCTAAGCTCCTCTCAAGAAACTGCAGATATGTCGACGACCTCAACACCATGAACTATTTGCATTTCTCTAACCTAATCAGGTCCATTTATCCACCTGACCTGCTTATGGAGAGGAGTGGTGACGACAATAAGTCCGTAAACTATCTCGACATCAACATCTCGATGAATAACTCCGGACACGTCGCCACCAAGCTTTACAACAAACTTGATGACTTCAACTTTCCTGTGGTCATGTACACCTTTCCTAACAGTAATATTTCCTCTTCTGTTGGTTATAATGTTTTTTACGGTCAGGTCCTTCGTTACTCTTCCATTATCTCTGACCTTGATTCTTTTCTGTGTTCTACCAACACCCTTTATAGGACACTTCTTTCAAGATGTTATAATGACAGACTCCTGAAGAGTAAATTCAGAAAGCTTCTGAAAGACCGACCTAGTATTCTGTACAAATACAGTATACTTGATGTCAGCGACATCCTTGACATCACATTTAACGTGAACAGGTGATCACTGACGAGTGATTGCTAGGGGGTCTTGGCACATTAAACCGGTACAGGTATTAAACCCCCGAAACCGGTGTGCCAAGTCATCTGCTGATGATGTTCACATAACATTATTTCCTCTCTCCTTTATTCCTTCCGTCTTTTCTTAAACTTACAGTTCAGTTACTTTATTTCACCAGGTCTACCTAAGGATCAATTATTCTTTGGTGGGGTTTCACTTCTGGTATTGGCTTCATTCCCGTTCCTTTTCCTTATTCTTTATACTTATTTTTTATATAGTTTAATGAGACTAGCCTTTGGCCGAGTTTTAATTTACACTCTCATAAATGTTGGGTTTATTATTATATACAAATACTTCTACTTGATTGACCGAGTAAAGAATCCAGGCTCATTTACCAAGACCCTAGATTTACCATGTAATTTTGTTTTCAAGCAGATGCAGGATGCAATGCTGAAATTGTTTTGCATTTGTGTGGTCCGCTCGATACGCTATAGTATTTTGAAAAGCCAGATAAATTCCAACGAACCCAGTCAATAAGTTTATACTATCCAAGTTACTCATGATCACGGGTTGAGAGCCAACATTGTGCTGCATAATAGATTTCACGTGAGTAGAATTGGACAATGTTCAAAATGAACAGTTCAAGTAAGACTAGGAGGTGTGTTGTGATGACAATACAGAACTATTGTCCCTGCATTAATGGATGCCATACTCCTCCACTCCCATACGAGGCATATTGCATTGTCTCCTCTTTCTTTGATTAAGATACTGACATTAACAAACACGATCTTCAAGAATTGATCTTTCGTAAGAAAATATAAGCTGAGTCACGAGCCATGCCAGACACCAGTCTAATAATTTCGCGATTCTAATCATATTGTGATCGTTTAGGTAGTACAGAAAATTCTAGAAGGTCCGGCAATTCGGTAATCTGTCGATGAACATATAACGCACGGTTAAGGCACAGCTTGTTTTACTTTTGTTGAAATTTACACATTTGCTCACATCACTCACAGTCAGCCGCCCTCACATGGTGAACCAGGGACCACCCTTCTTGTTTTGGTTGGTTAATCATATGAGCAGGATATAAATACCTCATTTCTGATTTCGTTACATTTCATTTCAAATAGGCACTAGGCAGAAACACATGAAATTTAGGCGAGTTCAAATGGTACTGCAGAGACCGTGTACATTCCACACATTCCATACATACATAATAATATGTACATAATATGTAACATGACAATATTATGTACTCTGTGCAGTAGCCAGTAGGTATGATCAAATATCTCGTCCCTAAACGAAGTGACAGTGTACCGCTCATTAATGACGCAAATGAGAAGTGACACATTATTAATGACGCACTGTGTATTTAACACTAGAACAGGTGGTCCTCCTAGATATTGTACCTCATCATACTTAGCATATGTGTTGGAATATAAGAGTTTAACAAAAGAAAGGCAAGTTAAGCTTTGTATAATAATATATGACTTAGTTTCGGTTCAGTTAGGGTTAAATGGAAATTTGTAGTGACTTGTAGTGTGTAGTTCTTTGTGTTTCATCATGTACGTAATTAAGGTTAACACATAACTTGATTAAAACTGTTTTGTAATACGTCCAATTAAAAAACCGACGACGAACGTTGAAAATTGCAAAACAAAAACAGACGTTATATGAACGTACCACTAGCTCCTTGATCTTTACCATCCTTATCGACAAATCTAAAGTCCTGCAAAGTCAGTAGAGAGTAAATCTGTTCTTTACACTGTTGGGCAACTCTCTCCGACCCACGCTTTATTATGTAGTCCAGAACTAGTAGTGCCTGGAACAAAATTATATAATTAGATAATTAACCAAACATATATTTATTAAATTAGTTCATTGTTCTCGGATCTTATATGTGTAGTTGTAATGTAGGCTGGAATATGGGACATTTTCCACTCAAAATCAGGAAATTACTTATTGTAACTCAGTCTATTAATACGATCATGTTATATTGTAGAATTGTTATACATATATCAAGTTTCCTGTATTGATGTTACAGGGCACCATATAATAAACAGGAGTAAAGTATGTACTGACCTACTGTCAAGTTTCAGGTTCTTATTACATACTCTCAGACTAAGCAAACAGAAAAGAAGGCTCAGTATTTGAAATTTAAGAAGTGCTTTAGTTCAGAGATGAAACCATATAATACACACGTGAGAAAAAACTGAACGGAGCTCAGATAACTCACATACCTCTTCAAACTAGCACGCATTACCATTCTTACCAAAATGCAGATTTTTTTCCAAAGTTTATATGTGAGATTTTCAAGACGGCCACGAATAGGCCAGGATAGTTAATAATTATCTCAATCAGATTTAGAGGCTGCCACATTTATTTAATACATATTAAATTGTACAAATCTCCGGACTGTGTATAATCCAAGAAGAACTTTTTCAAATCTAAAGACTATAAACAACGGACACTATCTTGAGGTTGTACATAACTTGCACACTTGTTTAATAGATGAGATGATTTAAGAAAATAATTAAAGGTCACGTCAAAAGTAAACTCGAGAGGATGTTATCAGGAATGATTTAGTAAATTGGTAGAACTAAATGATTTTCCGAGAAAGGAAAGTAGAATAGGCACTCTGAAGGGTGGAAAGTCTGAGATGTTGATACTAATGTTACCTTGAAGGAGTGGTGGAACTCGGAGCGTCTTATCAACGGTTTACCGGGCTAGTAATTTATTTGTATAGGTGTGATAATTAATCTACTACTAGTAATAATATTCCGATGATCAATTCAATCCGATCATTCTCAGATAGTTTTCTAAATATTTAAATACGAGGGAAGATATTCAATATAATTACTAACCTTGTAAACATGCCGCCAATTTTTGCCGTGATCGTTTAATCTCTTCCATAAAATGGTCATAATCTCAGCAAACTCAACTCTGAAGGGTAAAACGAGAATAGACAATGGTGATACACAACAAACACAAAGCCAATGAAATTAAAATCACGCCTCCTAGTATGAACCAGTCCATATTCTATGATTGACTAAAAACTAAACACACAGTTTTTCAACTTAAAGAACCATTGCAATAATATCTAAATACATTGTAAAACAGTTTGAAAATAAATCACTTACACTGAGTAGGTAGCATCAGCAATCTCGGTCATAACGGTTGTGGCAGGACCCCATGGTTCATTACAGGTTGCCTCTCTGACCTTACATTGTATGTCAGTATAGTTGTTTACTGTGTTTTTTCTGAAATAAGTTCCATAGAAAGATCACATTCATCTGACTCAACTGTATAGCAAAACAAAATACATACAATTCATGTTATCATATGAACAACACAATTATCACTATCGAAAAACTTATACTTTTAGATGGAGTGTTACATCGCTTGAACAGCCCATGTAAGAATCTATTACTTCAGTCCCCTCTGCCATTAAGGTATATTCTAGTAGATATAAGTAAGTTAATTCACGTTGATTCATGTGAAATTATTATTACTCACAGATTTCTGCGTAAAGTGGTCATGTCTGGGCGTGGTTTTGTTCATTACCTCACATCGTCCAATTCATCCATGTTAACTTAATAATTTTTCTATTATTAGAAGATGAGGAAGATGAAAAAATCTGATCTCAAATAATCCTAATGGATCAAACATGAACATAACAAATTGATACTAGACTGTAATCTTAACATAAGAAATCTTGTGATCAGACAAACAATGAAACATATTGATGAGGCACGCCAAACACCTTTCATCCTGTACAACAATGAGTGTATTTCAATAAGTTAATTATAAAGCGATTTCTGTTTAACTAATAAACAATTATATTTCAACCTTATTGTTGAATAACTTCAATATCTTTAATCCTACCCATCTCATTTAACCTTTGAATAATTGCATCATGTTTAAGAGCATCTCTAGTGAGCTTCTTATCATACTTTAAGGTTTTGAGAGTCTTGAAATCATTAATCAATTCCAGGCCTTGAATACTAATTGAAGTTCCTGCAATATCAAGGTGCTGTAATGAATGCCAACAATTCCTACAGATGACTCTGAAACCACTATCATCAATATTGACACAATTACGTAGATTAAGGTATTTCAGATGTTTAATTTCGTCAAAGTGCTTGCAGCCTCCTGATGTAATGTCAATATCAACTGCCTCAATGTCGGTAAGCTTGAAACGACCCCCGTAGCAAGACGAGAGACCATTATAATCTTTAACCCAAGCAGTTTGCCCTGCACCTCTAACCCAACCTTCATTCTTAACAATCCACTCAGCAGCAGCAGTGTCAGGGCCAACTGATTTCACCCGCGTATTGTCGTACTGATTAAAAGCTAGGTTGATAAACCCATAGAACAGTCTGGAGCGTTTGAAGAATTTAGAAATCGACATCAAGTTCACATACTACATGGTGAGAAAGTGATTTTCAGATGTTCAACTTGTCATGTAGAGTGCAGACATTTATTTATATCTTGATAAAATAGATAGCACTCAACATCAAAGCACAAATAAATTTTACTTAAAAATCTTACTGGTTTGCTCTGTAAAACCAATGACGAATAAAACGATTAACTTAACATTATACCTACAACACTATTGACTATAACAACTATACTAATGCCCATATAATATAATAAATGAGAAGAGGATTCTTATAGGAAGAATCCTGCAACACAATACAAATACCATTGTAACTATATCTTTATTATTGAATTTTTAACCGTGTTGCAGCACTATATAATTGAATTGAACATTGCAATAAGTACATACTATTGTAGATCATACTGTAACAGGTCTTAATTTAGCACACTTAAAGAAAACAACAATTTGAAGAAAACAACAAAATAATACGAGGACCAAAACTTCCCAATATTAGTACACAAAATTTGTTTCCAATATGTTGTAAAACTATGATATGATAGCAACAACAAACACAATCAGACGAGGTTGAGAATGTAGAGGAAGAGGTTGCAGAAGAGTGAGCTGAAAAGAAGACTAGATTCTATTCTAATTTATTGATTATCATATTTATTGAAATAAACATATAATATCCATTACTCCAGGAGTGATGCGGGATAACACAATCAGACATATCATAAAGATTTCAATTCTAAATACCACAAATACACTTCCATAATATATATATAAGATGTACCTTCACGATCTGCTTTTAACCATTTAAATGTAAAGCTGGTGATGTAGTTAAACCTGATCAGTCAGGATAGACAAATCTGGAGAGCAGTAACCTGGTTTCCATATCGTGGCGTAGCTTTTTAAAAATGCCAAGAGTTTTCATGAGAATATTATAAAAATCACGTCATGTACCTTAACATATGCTAAAGCAAGTACGTACATACACTCTACTGAAAGTACATTATTGATTATGAGAGGAATGTTCAATGTTGGAAAGTACTGTCCAGTCTCAATGAAAATGGCGATCAGTTATTTTATTTCGATCAACTATTTGATGTTGATTTCTATGCCAATTTCGAACAAAAATTAAGTATTGCGACGTAAAAACAATGTAATAGCCTTATAATATCAATATACTTATCAAATTCAATTTACTAACTAGCTGGACCTTGTCAGACATTTAATAATTTTAAAAAATTCCTTCAAAGATACGGTTTGTCTTCAAATAATTTTAATTATTCTGTTTCTGAAATGTTGGCTTTAGTAATTAATTGTAGCGCGATGCACTACTGGGTCGCGCCGCGCATCAAATAATTCTTCTCGCAACCACACTTCGGTTCACATAGCCATGTGTATACGCGTACTGCGTGACGCGCTTGTTTCACAAGTTCGGCGGTCGCGCGCTACTGCAAGTGAGAGGGCTCTGGTTAGAGCAAACACTTCGGTAGATCGGCAAGATGCACCACTGTGCCTTTACCGAGCTGCGAAGGATTGACATCGTGAATCAAATAATTAATAAATGTGACATGTAATTGTAAAATAAAATTGAATAGGTCCTGCGGCGCTTACAGCCGCACCCAAGGATTTCTCAACAATGTGTGGCTGTGTGCGCGGCGGGCTATATATATATATATATATATCTATATGGTTGAAATTCAAATTTGAATTTATTTATGAACATAACATTATGTATTGATTGTTTTGTGGTAATTACAATTTTTGTATTTCTTTTCTTATAAGGTGCAATAATTCTGTCATACGTTGTATGACCCGCCGCGCACGGGTGCGCGGCTCCCCTGTATCGTTGAAACTCTACACTATAGTAAAGCGACAGTGGGGGTCATCACGTGATACAACAATTATTGCAATAATTAGTTTTTGAGCTCCTTGTGAGAGAAGCGAGCAATAAACTTATCAAACTTTACCTGAGGACCCCAGGCTATTATGTTCATTAACATATAAAGATTTGGCGGAATGACAGGCTGAGCGGGGCCCAGTAAATCAAACTTGTCAAACATTGTAGACCTGCTGCGCGCACGTGTGAGTGGCTGTATCGTGGCTTTCACTACGATACTACTTAGTGAAACGATAATGAAGGTCACAATTTCAAGAGTAGTGGTCCACAGGGGTCCGAAAAAGCCGTACAGGCACTTGGGTCATTATCCTTGTCACTAATCTCAATTGGATTCGGTTTACACAAAACATGAACATTTTATTTAGACGTACACATTGACACGATATTTATTAGAAAGCAAAAAGTATAAAATAATACTTACTGGGCGGCGCTCAGCCTGTCATTCCGCCGAATCTCTATTCTATTATGTTAATGAACATGATAGCCTGAGGTCCCCAGGTAAAATAAAACGTGCGTGCGCGGCTTGGGCCGCGCCGCATAAAAACGGATGCGTGCAGGGGCTGGAGTACGCTTGTATGTAGATTAATGAAATGTTGCATTGTAAATATTGAGAATTGACGATATATTATGATCTAATAGTAAATTTTACAAAGCTGGCTTTGGATTTAGGTAAAATTATAATTTATTAAAAAAAAAACCACGGATAGTTTAAATTTATTTCTATTTGTCGTATAATCATAATAAACAATTTAATCCTGTTTTCAAGAATGCGCGGCTTTGGCGGCCAGTTATTGACTTATACATTAAATTGAATTTTAAATAGAAATGTGAATATATTAAAATTTAAAACTTTCAAAACGAAGGCTTATAAATATTATTATATTATGATTGTAAAATAAAGGATAAAATTTTAAATTTGTTTCACTAAAAATTTGTTTCACTAATATGGTACAATAAACTTATAGGTTACCAAGCTAAGAAGCGCGCCTCGCCGTCAACTGTCTCAGTGCAATAATTGGAATAATTATTCAATACGAGTAACACCCGTTACGCGATACACTAACAAAAAAGTACTGCAAAATAACGCGCGCCAGGTCATGGGTAAGTTCATTAAAAAAATCAACTTTTTAAAGACTATATGTTTTTAATCAAAACATTGACGAAAGATTGATAATTTTAAAACTTTGTAGCACTTGCTTCGGCCATAATATTTTGAAAAGAAAGCGGTGTCGTCCGTCAAATTTTTACTGGGCGTCACTCAGCCTGTCATTCCGCCGAATCTCTATATGTTTATGAACACATGCCTTGGAATAACTTACCTGAGGACCCCAGGCTTTAATGTTGGTAAACAACATAATAGAGATTAGGCGGAATGACAGGCTGAGCGCGGCCCAGTAACGAAAAATACTGCTATCTTGGCATTATATTCCACAGAAATGGATCTTTCACAGCAGCAAATACTGAACTGAGGGCCAAGGCTCTCCGTGCTCTCTATGGCCTCAAAGGCAATATCGTCAAAGATGCCCTCTCTCACCGTTCCCTAAACATTCTATTTGACTCTCTAATAAAACCGATACTGCTCTATGGCTGCCAAATCTTATGTCCTCACTCAAAAACCATGAGATACCTCTCCAAAACAGATAGCAAAGCCAACCCCCAGCATACTCTCAGGTACATCTCACAAGACCACTATGAAAGATTCCACCTGAAGTTTATCAAGTGGTCCTTGTCTGTCCATTCAAAAGCATCAAATATAGGCTGCTGGGGTGAAAGTGGGCGCCACCCCCTCTTCTTTGAAGCCTGCAAACTTGCAATAGATTTCTATAGTCGCCTTGAAAGCACTGAAAATGATCTTCTCTCCGCTGCATTTCACGAGCAGATTATGCTGGGCCTTCCTTGGTACACCAACATCTCTAATATTCTCACCAAATATAACTTCCCCCACTCATCCTCTTCAAAATCCAAGCTCTCTACCCAAATCAGTCACAACATGAGGGAAGAATTTGTGGATACCTGGAAATCTGCCAAGGCATCCTCACCTAAATTAGAATTCTACAATCAAATTAAACATGATTTTGAACCAGAAACATACTTAGGAGTGGTTAAGATCCCCGATGCTCGGAAAAGCTTAACAAGGTTTCGTATTAGCTGCCACAATCTTTACATTGAGAGGGGCCGTTACGAAACCCCCCTAGTACCAAGAGAACATCGATGGTGCACTTTTTGCTTCTTCAGCAAGGGGCTTAAGCCTATTGAGGACGAAATTCATGTTCTAACAAAAAAAAAAAAAAAAAAAAAAAGGAAGCAACTCAC